AGAATAGTGCCTTTTTTGTCTTGTTTTTTCTTGGAAAGTGAGGAGGAAAAAAAAAAACGAATTTCAACATATGTATGTGATTATTATTTGGTTTTTTTATGCTTCATTGATTCCTTAGATGGATTTATCAAAGGATAAATAAAGTTTTTGTTGAACAAAATAAAAATCTTAAATTTTGAAATAAATCTCTAGAAAGTCTTCTTTATCTTTTAATTAGAGTGATTCATCTTGGTTTCAACATTTTAATACAGAATTAAGTGAAGAAACAATATTAGCTTATTTTTATCAAATAGGAAATCCATTTTATAATCGATTGAGTTTAAATGAACAAATTTATATGAAAAGTCTTCCAAAAATTGAAGCAATAGTACAATCAAATCAATTTATTTTATTGAAATTTTTCTTTGTTTCTGATAGTTAAATGCAATCGGAATTAAATCTAGACTTATAAACCGACAAGATCTAGTCTTGTATATATTATTCGAAAACATTTTCGTGAAGAACCAAATGAAAGATAGATATTATCCTTGTGAAACATTTTTTTTATGTTAAAGAATATATGATGTTGGTTAACTCGATGTTGTTCAAGAATTAACTAAATATTAAAGTTTAAGTTCTAAAGAAGATTATTCAAGTACTTTAATCCTTTACTTCCTGTTGTACCATTTTTGACCCATTTATAGAAACGATCTATTTGGAGTAATAAAGCATCGAATCGATATGATGGTTGCATATTATGAGTATAATGTATTTCAGAATAGTTTTTTAAAAATTACTTAACTATATATATATATATGTAAAAGCAACATTTTTCATGACAGTTTGGGTCATACTTGAGATCCATTCGTAATGAGTAACATAAAAAATTGGTTTCGCTAGATTTATGTTTTCTTCGATATAAACTCATAAAATAATACAATTTTCATGATAAACACTATTAGAACGATAAAAGATAGAAATGAATGATTTGGAATTGGAATCAGAATCAATGATTTGATATTATATAGAGAACATGAAGACAAACAATTCCGATACGATGATGGAAATGGAAGACCTGACTTTAACCTAAATATAATTTTCTTTGCAGATGTCTCATCATATATCATCCTTTGTAATATGACTCATTTTTCAAAAAATAGTTCACGATAAGTAACTCTTGAACTTTATACAAATAAAATAGCAATATAACTACGAACAAGTCAAATTAACTGTAAATTCAATTTTTATGGTATTCAAGACGAATGAGTCATTTTAGACTCATTCTGCATGTCCACAGTGAAATGACGTTGCTCACATTGAACTACACCGTTGTTATAATTAGCACCTACAGAAACTGTTTTCATTGTTGTCTCAACACTAAATCTATTGAATGAGTGCTGGAGATAAAGGATTAAGCAAGATTTAGCATCGCAGTATAATAACATTTCATTTTTCAAGTTGTGTCGTATATTCAGAAAATCAAGAATGTGATAAATTTTGAAACTAATAAACGTCTTCATCTTATGTAGAGATGAACATGGAAATGTGATATTACTGTAACAGATAAGATTTTTCTCACGACGTATGAGGAGACTTGAGAAAGTAATGCATCTATATCAGAATCGAGATCGATCCATTTCGGTTGAACTTTTAAAATCAATCGATTGTCAAACCAGTTTTTTGTCAATTTTAAAGGTACTGAAGCTAGTCTATTTTATTCTTCATCAAATTCTAGCTGTAAGTTTTGAACTCACTCTTTTTCATAGTACAATAATGACCACGGATTAGAGTGAATATATTGATTATGGTCACGAAAATTTAGCTAGTCATTAGATGTTTCCAAATTTCGAGCTCACTTTTTCGACTACTTTTATGTTAAAAAATCATCTCAATTTAAAATTATACTGAAGATGCTTTATATTACAGTTTGCATGGTATTACATTGAAAAATTTATTTTATTTGAGAACTCGCTATTAGAATACTATTGAATCTGATTGCAAATAAAAACTTATATCTTGGTTCTTAATCATTGAAATTCAAATTTGTATTCTTTTTTATTAAATACTATAATAATGATCTTGAGTTTATATTAATTTGTGATATTTGACAAATCAATTTTTAATCGATTGATAAATCTTCAATTTTTTTGTTCATTTTATTGTTTTGTTAACTGCTATTCAACATTTAGGCAAAACTTTCAATGAAGATGATAATTCATATCAAAGAAAATAATCTATTCAGTTTGATAGAATTATTTCCTAATTATCATGATTGTTTTCGATTATGAATATCATCTAGAACAACTATACAACATGTAATACCTAGTTCAACAACAAATAACGAAACTGTCGCAGTTACTAATGGAGATGCTGATCTTTCACCTATCTATTTTAAAGAAAAAGAAGAAGAGTGTACACCATCTGATTGACAGTTAAATATGAGCGAGTGACCTATGGTTGAAGTTAAGAGACAAAAAACTCAAAAATAGAATTACGTCTTTTTTTTCTCTATTGTTGTATATTCAATGGAAAAAGAAAACATGT